TGTTTGTAATTTCCATTTGTTTCTCACGAAGTCGTTTCTATTCTAGATCTTGCATACTTCAAACATTCTTTCATCTGCTTTACACTCCTTTCACTTTATCATACAGCTTTAATTCTTACATTTCTTTGTTATGAATAATAGATCTCTGTGGTATGTATTATCTTGTAGCATTTAAAACTAATAATAGATAGTAATTTACTTCTGTATTAGCTTAGCACATGCTCCTTTTTCTGTAGACTGTAATTTGGTTGCACCAACTATGTATAAATCTGTACATACTTAATTCAGTACCATATTTTGTAAGTTCCAGGTAGTTTTTTTATGCTTCATAGTATGAACCTGTGTTGTTCATTATGTTGAAGATCTATCGGATTATATTACAATTAATATATTTTGCATTGCATGTTTCAGTAATTAGTAATATTAGTAGCACATTTAGTATTGCACTAATGAAATTACTTTGACACACACGTATGTTCCTATTAAATATTATAAATGGACACTTATAATATTTTATAACATTAAACAAATTTTCCACTATATTTATTTACTCAAAACGAATGAATTTATTTGCATTTTACTTTACATTTTAGGTGTCGATTGGAAATCACTGACAATTCCAGCATGTTTACCTATTACTACAGATTATTTCCCAGATAAAAGGAGTTTGCAAAATGATTATGTTGTCTCAGATTACAATCTCCTACCAGATGATGTTAATACTGATTTTGCACAGCAGCGGGCGATATATAAAAAGCCTTTAACAACTGCAGAAGTGTTTAAAGAACTTGTGTCACAACGATTAGCGCAGGTATGAGGTGCAATAACTTTATCAGGACTTAAAACGTAAATTGTATTCATCAAAGCGGACGAACTTTTTTTCTGAAGGGTTTCCAATTGATTATCTTACCTACAACTAATAAAAATCAAAGCAATACACCTGGTAGTGCGGTTCCAGCAATAAGTACCGTAATGCGCGGTCGACAAACTGAATCAGAGCCTAAGGAAGAGTACTTGTTAAGTATTGGTAGGATTTTCCATAAAATATCTTTATTTGATAACAGTATAACTGTCACGAGATATCGACCAAGGTAAATAATCTAATATAATGCCTAAGCCTGATTAATATGAAATCAACGAAAAATGTTTCTATCTTTGCTTCTATAGGCACCCCTACCCACCATTTAATATTCATTATCGTTACCGATTTCATGCACCCCACCACGATACATATGAAGTATCATGGGTGTCTTTTACAACAGAAAAACTGGAAAATTATAATTGGAATTATTTGGATCATTATATTTGTACAAGAGGTCATACAGATTTTGCCTTAGTGGAAGTATGTATTATTGATTGCAGTAAAAGATATGAAAGTTCTTCTATATTGCGTTTAAAAATTAACAGGCTCTTAAATATTGGAGATTTCGTGTATTTCTACTGCCATTACATAATACGGTGACTCGAAAATTTTTGGAAGGATCATCGAGATGCGATATATACACACCTCTCACTACCACAGATCAAGTTTCTCTAATGGATGGATTTCTGCGCTTCATTGAACTGTGGCCGAACAAAATACGACGTCAAAATCCCAACAAAAACTGGGTAATTTTTCTTCGAATAATTATTTTATAATATAATCTCATTGTTCCATTTGTTGGAATTGCTAAACTATTACAAATTATTGGGTTTTTATGTAGGTAATCGAGATTTAAAAAGGATAATCCTTTTTTAGTGTTCGATAAGAGGTGCCTTAATATTATTTTCTATTTAAATGAACACATAATTTAGTTCAACGATTTCTATTTCTTATTATACTACACTATATTATCGCACTCTGAAATTGGATGTCGCATGCCTGATGTACAACGCCTAATTAATGCAATTTATTTAAATGCTTACATTTTATTTTTGAGTACCGTATTCGTTATTTAGTATGTACTACTTGATTTGATATCAAGAACTTCGAATTCTTGTTATCTTGCAGTGCGTGTGCTAAAGTATTGTTACAGTGTCACTTTGATATTTAGTGTCCTACATGGTGCACTAGATAAGTAGGACACATAACAAATAGTAACACGTTGGCTGCTATAAGTATAAAATGAGAAAAACACGATTTTGATTTTGACCAGCTTTGTTGGTATTTAAGTAATACTAGAGATAACACCCCCAAGACAACTGAATTTTCATTATATATATATATATATATATTAACTATTTTCATTTAGTATAACATTGTTTGGAATAGTATCATATCCAGTGAGATGCCGAAATTACACGATTACACAAGATATATACACATAACAGTAAACTCAAACAGACTAGTGGAATGTTAGTATAGGGAGGGGTATTTAGCATGATATGTTTCAGAACCCTTCGGCTCTAGGTGGTGTTCCCCCAAGAGATCCTGCCTCTCATTTGACCAGACGCAGGCACAGCACGAGCCTGATAGTCCTCACTAACCAGGTATATCCTCGCCTCCTGTAGCCTCAATATGCTGAACCAGGTGTCAATGATATCGTTATACATAGGCTTCAAGCAATACTCTGCCTTCTTGGCAATTAGAAACAATTTTGAACTCTCAATGTCTTTTATCTCTTTGTATACATCATTCAATATAATCTTCGAAGGACATTCAGTTATAATTAAATTGGATCACCTCATTTTATAGAATACATAATACACCTAAACAGCTTGCACACATATCATACAATGAATGCAACCATGCCTGTTATATGCCTTGAATGCGCAGATGATTTAGCAAGCTTTTATGTAATGCAAATTGTTGTATAATTTATTTCTTTTTTTTCATAATTTAATACTCCTCTCTTAATATAATATTAACAATTATATCATTACAGTTAAACAAACCAGATATACATCTTCATGATCATGAGCTTTCTCATACATTTACAGTTACCCGTACTCTTCATCATGCTTTTCAGACCAGTCTAGTTGGCAGCTCTCCCNATTAACTATTTTCATTTAGTATAACATTGTTTGGAATAGTATCATATCCAGTGAGATGCCGAAATTACACGATTACACAAGATATATACACATAACAGTAAACTCAAACAGACTAGTGGAATGTTAGTATAGGGAGGGGTATTTAGCATGATATGTTTCAGAACCCTTCGGCTCTAGGTGGTGTTCCCCCAAGAGATCCTGCCTCTCATTTGACCAGACGCAGGCACAGCACGAGCCTGATAGTCCTCACTAACCAGGTATATCCTCGCCTCCTGTAGCCTCAATATGCTGAACCAGGTGTCAATGATATCGTTATACATAGGCTTCAAGCAATACTCTGCCTTCTTGGCAATTAGAAACAATTTTGAACTCTCAATGTCTTTTATCTCTTTGTATACATCATTCAATATAATCTTCGAAGGACATTCAGTTATAATTAAATTGGATCACCTCATTTTATAGAATACATAATACACCTAAACAGCTTGCACACATATCATACAATGAATGCAACCATGCCTGTTATATGCCTTGAATGCGCAGATGATTTAGCAAGCTTTTATGTAATGCAAATTGTTGTATAATTTATTTCTTTTTTTTCATAATTTAATACTCCTCTCTTAATATAATATTAACAATTATATCATTACAGTTAAACAAACCAGATATACATCTTCATGATCATGAGCTTTCTCATACATTTACAGTTACCCGTACTCTTCATCATGCTTTTCAGACCAGTCTAGTTGGCAGCTCTCCCTTCAGGGAGCGACTTGGAAGCAATCGTCTACCAGAGAAACCAAGACCAAGGTTTGAAAAAGCTTAAATTAACGATTTCAGCATTTGTTGCTTTGTGCAAATGTAATGGTATAGCCTGCAGTATATCTACTTTGTGATGGTGGACCATTGCAACTTTTTAATGTTTGGTGGTTTTTAATTTTGCCTGTTTTGCTTTCTGCTATACGCATTTGATTGTTAAACAAGATTCCTTTTTTCATAGGTACATAGGAATCAATTCATCTTCATCCAGACAATCACATAATTTAACTAAGTTACAACTCACCACAAAAACTTAGCATTTTTTATACCTCTTAAAAACTATATTATATAGTACGTTTCATGATATAGTGTCATCAGAAAAGTTAATTTAATCAACTTTATCATATATAAAATATTCTATGTGTACATTTTTCAACATATACATACAGACACAACTTTTTTTCAATTTGCACATCTGCATGTTTTATCAATGAAGAGGAAATAAGAGAATCTGTTTATAAAGATTTCGTACATTTGTCATGTGGTGTTAAGCAGAGTATCTTATAATATGCTTACGAATGTTACATGCTTACATTATGGTGATAATAGTACTTCTAAGGCACTCTATTTTTGAAAGGGATGTGATTGGGACAGAAAAAAAGCTGTATTTGTAAATGTTTGACAAATCTTTGTACATAGTACCTATTCTGTATCTTTCAGCTGCTTCTATCTTTCTTTACATCATTTAGTAAATAAGATACAGAGTATTTGTAACAATTCGTTTCAAACGTAGGAAAAGATATTGTTGCCATGAATGTTTTAAATAAGACATTGAGAAAGATACGAATACTCTGTAGAGTAGAAAATATTGGTAGTGAGTGAGGGAGTGACGGGGTTCTCTGTACAGGAGAGGCATGTAGTGAATACCGCTGCGACTGCCCGCACGTGCCTCGACACTCCTCGCCACGTGCCAAACAGGTTGGTTTTACTTTTTTAATTTCAACTATAAAATTGAATATATATGTATGCTATAAACGGCTGAATATGTATGTACACATATCACAGGTATTAATTATAATACCTGTATTATACAGGTATTATAAGTAATGATTTATATTCAGGGGGTGATAGTAATTCTAGTGTCTTTATTATTGAATTCGCCTAGATAAGAAGATATTTAGAGAATTTATTTGTTTAAACCACATCATATAATTTTCTAGACTGTTCTCATCCACTGAATATTTATGATAACTGGTAAAAAGATATGCGTTTTTTTCAAGGAGACATTTAGTTAACATTCCTTGTAATTTGTATGTCCTATTATAAAGGAATACTAAACAATCGAAATGTTAATAATGTGCATACATATCGTTTATAGATTTTGTTATAATGATGGTTTGAAATAAATGCAAATGATGTGCATAAGCAAAGAAATTTTGTGGCTTTTCATATATGGCTTAATTTTTCAATCACTCTATCTTCTATTCTTCTATTACTTTTTAATTCATAGAGTTATCTTGTAACTTTATTTTCCCTGTCGTTATCAGATCAGGATCTAAAGTAATGGACAGAGGACGAATCTCACCAGCTAGTGAAGCTGTATTACCACTTTCACTTGAACAGCAACAAGACCATTTTGAATCTAATGAAGACAGGTAAAATTAAATGATGAAACAGTCAAACTGTTTACATATCCTCGAGATTAATGTATAAACATTATCAACAGTACAAATATGGAGTTGATGAAGATAAAAAGCACTGCATCAAAAACTGAAATTCTGGAAGCAATGAAACATTTGCAATCTGGTGTAGGGTTCCTCACTCAACATCCATCGCTACCAAGTCAAACATTTGTTAGCGCTGACGCTGTGCAATGGTTGAATAATCATATAGAAGGAGGAGTGACAGTGGAAGGAGCTATTAACATTATGAATGTATGAAAGAATTTTCCGATACCTAACTAATGATCGAACATGTTCTAATTTTATTTTCTGATGCAGGGCATGATTCAAGACAAGTTGATTTGCCACGCTTCTGGTGATTTTTCGAAACCGTTCATTTTAGGATTCTATCTGTACCATGTGGTACAAGATAAGGAGAATCAAAGAGGTAAGAAGAAATACTTCTCACACATTACATAAAAGTGTACAGATATCAACAACACTTTCACTTTCAAGCAACAGATAATTTTTCACCTACCGGTGATTTACAAAGCTTTGAGAACGAATGGGTAGAAGTAGAAATAAAAGCACCAAAAAGTTGGTGTGAACCAACTTCCGCAGCGTCTTTCCCAACGATATCTTCACCGATAAATATACCCAGTTGTGATACAGTTGACGAGTCAAATGTGCCCCCGTTCCTTAAAGACGATTTAGACTTGATAGACTGTGTTCAGGACACAGAATGGAGAGGTCAGTTCATGTGGTACATTATAATACCTTATTATCACATTTTATATTTTTGCAAGCTGTATCTTATCTTGTAGCTCCACCGTACAAGCACACTCATTTAGATATCGATATAAATAATAAAAGCGACAGAATTGAGTGGGGTCATTTGAGATACCAATCCATATATAAAGTGGACCATTCTTATGAGCTCGTGGTACAATGGGTAGCTTCATCCGGCAGTATAGTCGCCGATCTTGTAAGAATATAATTCATCATGTTCTATAAAATTTTGTGAGAGATTAATAACAAATTTTTTGTTGAAAAGATTTTCGTGTGGCAACGAAAGGCTCAAACATGCGGGATTCAAATGGTTCCTATTCCCAGTGATCTACTAGCTCTACCATTCACTTTAAAAAGCGATCCTCTAAGAGGGCCTATATTTATTCCACTCAATACAGATTGTCTCGTAACAAATAAACAACCACTTTTTGAAGGTTTGTCGTGATATTTTTGCAAATTTCACACGATTCTTCGAGATTCTAGATTAAGACATTAATTCCAGAATTTCGAGAAGAGACCTACGCGCAACGACTATTTCTGTTCCAAGAAGCAATTGTACAGAGATTTGGCTTTATCCCATGTCTTATAGAAAGTACAGAAAATGATCACCAATATGTGCATATGACTGGCAACGCATTTATACTTATTCCTTCTACAACGAACACGAGGTTTCGTCCCAGAGCGTCTACGAATGTCGTGAGACGAAATACAGGACAAAAAGGATATCCGGTTCATCCTGATCAACCTAGTCCGCACGAGGCTTACATTACAAGACATGTTAGCGGGAAAAATAAAAATGATTACAGCATAGATAGAAGGGTAAGTCAGTTATACGTCTTGCAAAGAAATGGAGGAACAGATGTTTGCCTTTTGTAGATTGGGTTTCTTTGGTCATGGAATCATATGGTCAGTCGAAAATGGAAGTCAGCATCGACACTAGCCGGCGATGAATTATTTCAGAAAAAACTCATTCAAGACTTTAGGCATTTTTGTTCGAATGGAGATAACAGACTGAAGTACTTCTGGGAATGTTGTTGGGAAATCAAAGAAAAATCAGGCACACGAACATTTTAAAGCCTTTCAAATGATCTACTAAATAGGTCCTGTTCCATAGGCTTACAATTTTGTTACCACAATGGAATTTATTTTTGCCATAATCGGTCGTGTTTATTTTATATTATTGAAGAAAATGTTTAATTGTACCATAAAGGAAGCATGTAAAAACAGAAAATATTCAAAGGAGTAGCTGTAAAGGAATTTAAAAACACTATAATATATATTTACGAGTTTACTTTGTTTAGTTTGCATAAGACAAATGTTGTTTTTACGAAACTAGTAATAATAAATTTATAATTTTTGTTACTTATCTATGTATTTATATTTTAAACGTGGAGTCATATTGTAGAAAATAATTTATCTCCTTACTCGGTCAGAAATTTGTACACGAGTCAGTGTTAACAAACAAAATTAATATTATAACATTTACATATTTTTACGGA